GGCGCGCCGCCCCGGAGCCCACCGCAGGGCCCGCCGCCCCGCCCCCGCCCCGCGCCGGCCTGTCCGGAGCAGTCACCGCCGCCGCGGAGTCTCCGCCTAAGGCCCCGCTCGTTTGGGGGCCGGCGGCGGCGGTGGTGGTAGCGGTAGTGTAGACGCCTCTGGCTTCGTCCGCCGGTGACAGGGCGGACGTCCAGACGACGGGCCCCCGTCCCAGGGACGGATCACGTCTTTGCGGCGGCGGATTGCGCTCTGCGGGCGGTGAGCGGCGGCTGCCCTAAGGCACCGCCCTTTGAATGTGCCCACGTGGGGTTGACGCGTTGGGCCACGTACATCACGGCGCTCCTGCTGTTTCTAGACTGCGTAAAACAGTACGCACGCCGCTCAGAAAGTCCTTCAGGCTTCCTCCAAGTTCCACTGGTCACAATTCGCAAATATGCGGTGGCGATTGCTTAACACCAATCCCCGCGTAAAATCTTCTCTCTTGATTGGTTGGTGCAATACTGTATTCTCGGGTAATAAAAATATGACCACATTTTCAAAGTGCAATTAAAATAAATTTTTAATCATGCCTTTACACATGAAAAGACAATTATATCTAAGCGTAATATATGGCTATTCAAGAGCATCTGGAAGTCGTGTAACATCGAGAATTCGTCTATATCTATAAAGCATATTACTGGCAGTTATAGCGCGTCCTGTATGGCATCGTAACAACCTCAGTTGCGGATCAGGGTTAATAAAATATCACCAACTTTACACGATTAACTGCGATTCGCACACCACCGAAGTGCCAGTGGCGTGCTAATTTACGGCCGTTCCGAGGACCGAGCGCATAAATTATCGGCATTACGAACTCAATGCCATGGAAAATTATTCCCAACCAGCCACATCAAATCTTCGCTTAGATCGTTCAATCGCGCGTTTAATTAAAATAATATTTCGCTGCATCGTGGAGCTAACACGCGGCTGAGCCCACCACAGGCCCTCCCCTCGCAGTGACTACACCACGACTAGCGAAGCTCATCCGTCCTTCAGAGTGGAATTGTCCAACGTTGCCCAGCAATGGTCATGGGTCACTCTTGAATAATGTTATAAAAAATTATTCGCGTTGCCCGGCAATACCCCAGTGGTGTTTATGCTAAGTTTCCTAACGCTGTTCATAATGTCCGAATATGCCTAAACACTTCAAAGGTAATATCGCGCAATATACCCCTGCTTTTCCGATTACAAATAATTGGTCTTCAAGCACCAGTCAACGAGAGAAATTTGAGCCTCATTCCTGTGGTTTTGAGATACAATTTCAAGTTCGGCGTACACGCAAAAAACTATGTGAGGCCACGGAAATTAATCATGACTGCACACAGTTCATTTAGTGCGGTAACTGATTATTAATCAAAATAAAAGACATATGTCTAAGCAATACAAAAATAGAACTAAACATGACCATGAAACTCATTTCAAACTGACTGAAAATATGCGAATCTCATCATTAATGTTATGTGACGCACATTGTCTCTCAGATTCACTACATTCCCCGAAATCACATTCAATTTAATGTGGATTAATGTATTTGTGCACTAAATTTAAGACTTAAATTAAAATCAATATAGATTTAATGTACGACTGTACATGAAACTTAATGTACCTTTTACATTAAAAGAAGATTAATATACTTCTACATTGAATGTAATGTTTTAATTAAAATGAATGGAAATTTAGGGAACGACTGTACTTGAAACGTAATATACCTTGTACACTGAAAACTAGAATAATATGTTTGTACATTAAATTTATTGTTTAAATTAAAATTCACGCAGATTTGATATACTCTTATGAAACACATGAAACATAGTTATAGAAAACTTAGAAATATTTTATTCCACTATTTCAACTTACGCACAATAAATTTAAAACAATCGAGAGAAGCTGAAGTAATTCAGGCATATTGGATTTGTGAAGGTTAAGTCTGATTATTATTAAATAGTATTATTTATTTAATATTGTCATTATTAACATTATTTTATATTTTCATGAAATGTGAAATTTGTTAAACTCCACCATTGATGGATACGTGCTGCAGATTGCAAGTGGCATGGTCCAAACAAATTAAGACAAACTGAAGTTTAGGAAATGAGTGTGGTATAGTAAGTACAAAATAAATAACTGTAATTCTGGAACAAAACTTTTTACAATTTTGTAAAGACGTTATTGAAGGTGTGGTAACTGACAGCTATTAGGTTTTTGGATATACGTATTCTGCAATATTAGAAACAACTCTCGGTTTCATGAAGTTGGAGTTGTATTAATATTACGCACTAAATTAAAAATATTTCATTAAGTACCTTACTAATATCGATAGAACATTTGAGATAAAATTGTTATGTTACATTCATTAAAATTTGTAATAAAAAGGCAATTGGTCTTACCTGAAAGTGACAGTCAGAAAACATTGTCAAAATGGGTATTGTTAAATAGACAACGGATAATCTTCTCCCCCATAGGTCACATACAGTTCTTACTGTTATTTTGACTGAATAAATCTAAATCTAGATTGTATCCTTACGTACCAAATAGTTTTGTTTTGATTTAGTAATTTCTCACGGAAAAGAACAGTTGCAGAATACCAGATTCATGATACTGTAACAAGGAAACGTGTCTGCATACTGCTACTGTTCTTTTTTTCGTGCTACAATGAAAAGAAGAAAGGTAACATTATATAATTATAATATTACCATCTAGTAATAATATTAATGATAGTTTGTTTCACATTAAATCGATTTTCTTTCTTGTTATATTGTTAGAATGAGCATAAAATGTAAGAAATATGACATTTAAAAAAAATTACTAAAACCGAGACTTATGACCCACTTGAGGCACTTAGTCGAGAAATGGAAATTAAAAGGAAATGGAAAAAGGCCTTGATATCATCTCGAGGAATTCAAAATTTGTCATGAATCTCCCAAGTACCTCTTCAGTCAACAAATAGTTGATCAATATAACCTTAAATATTTCGCTTCCACTCTCTAATAACAAAAATTAGATCTATTTACATCCTCGCATAGCAAAGCGAACTCCAAACATGAAGGTCCGTTAATGTTTGTTTTCAGGAGTACCATACCCGCCCACCTAACCCTCTTCTATCCGACGGTCGTTGTCCTATCTCCCCCGCCATTTCCGCTCTTGAGCAAGCGACGAGTCGCGCGCCCTTTCAAACCTCACGCGTGCTGCAAGTAACAAAAGTCGGTGAGCCACGGCCGGCGCCAACCCGTCCCGCCTCGCCCCTCACCGAGCGGCGCCGCGACGCGCAGGGCCGCATAAAAAGCCTGCGGACGACGTAATTCCCATTTCAAAGATGAATATGGAGACCCGCCCGGCGCGCGCCGAGGAAGGCGGGCGGGGGCGGCGAGGGCGGCGGCGCCGTGCAAAATAAAGAAAAAGAGGGGGCCAAATATAATGGGCTATTCAGAGGGTAATTCAGCGTAATTTTATGATACTTCAGGAGATATAAAATACTTCTGGACGCTCCCGCTCGCTCCTTCGCCATTCAAAGCAGCAAACGAGAACTTCACGCCGCGACGCCGGCGGCGCCTCCTATAAATTATTTCGAGTAAATTTAACATACTCAAGCGCGCGCCGCGGGGGCGGACAATAAACAGAGCGCCCGCGCGCCCTCGCCCGCTCAGAGGAGGGGCGGCACAAGCGGGGCCGCGCGGGGGGG